TTATTTTGTTTGTTAATTTTTATAATCTTTTCTCCTTTTTACATCTGTAGATGTCGATGAATGCGCAAACCATATTTCATGTCCGATGAAGGAATCTTTCTGTCAAAATACCGACGGATCATTTAAATGTTTATGCAGCAAAGGTTATGAGCCTGTTCATGACTCCAAAGGCCGACTTCAACGATGTGAAGGTAAGTCTTGGGTTTGTACCACTGATGGGTGATTGGAGGATTGGGGGATTTTAACCTTATTTCTACTAACTCTGCCCTACCGGGGCCTTCCTCTCCCAGGTATTAAACAAAAATAAGCAACGGAACCGTTTTCGTTCTCGAGATCACGAAAAAGAAAACTGGCAAAACTTTCATGGCTTATATCAAGCATATCTTCAGGGCATTTTTTTCGCATCATTTGAAGCAATTTCATTAACACACTGTTGAACTGTCGGCTCAGCTACTATTATGATGCAAAAAGCATAATTTGAAATACTATCATGACTTATTCGAGATCAAACATACAGAATTTTTTAATTCTTGTCTATTTTATTTTAAGGCATTGGTATTAGTTTTCTCATATCACGTCCGGTTCGCGCAAAATTCATACTTTACCGATTTTCAATTTTTTGTTTATCGCTTCCATGGAAATATCGATTGCCTTAAGAAATACATATTTCCAAACTTCAATCTATTTTCAATTATTGGTGTAGTTTTTGTATCAACCCGATTAAGGGAAGACTGTTAAAAAGCTGATTGAAAATGATTGGTATGGTACCACAAATACTGTGTTGAGACATCTGCATGTGTTATCTGATTTTAGACATCGATGAATGTTCACGTCGAAAACTAAACAAATGTCCAAACATCACCAGTTGTGTCAACCAGGAAGGCGGTTACACTTGCAAATGTGCTCCAGGATACGAACGCGACAAACGAAGTCACGCGACAGGCCCGAAAATTAAGTGTAAAGGTAAGCCGCACTCTTTGTTTGAGTCCTTCGTTCACTCAACAATTACAGTTAAGTACCCAGCAAGTTAGAACAAACACAGTAACATACATTAACAGCTTCAAAGCAGTCGTTGTGATGTGAAACGTTTTTACGTAAATAGATAAAAGGGCTGAGGAACTATGGCAAGATGGTTAACGCCAAACACCTCACAAGTGATGTCACTAGTCCATCGACCGTTTGCAGGCGCCATAAGACATTTTGCTGTAAAAGCTTGCAGCCTCATTCCAGATGGTCTGTGCTTTTACCACAGTTTTTTTAGGCCGAGTTTTGCCATGCAATTCATCGCAGACGTCTACGTCACTAATTACCAAGGCCGCCAGACCAAATTTTCCACAAATTTAACGAATACAAATCGTGGAGGTTAACAAAAGTTTTCCAACAAATTATCGATGTAATCAAGCTATACATTACAAAGGCAACAGATTTGTTGTCCATTTGATTTGTAACAATTTTAAAACTTAAAATGCTAGTGGTCAATTTGCAAAGAATTTGCTGAGTGGCCTTGCTCCGAGTAGTCCCACTGTAAGTGTCAGGCTTCCACGTTCAATAATAACGTAATATAGCTGGGCAATTCAGTAATTTCATTTTTGAAAAATCGCTCTTATAAATACTCAATACAATACAATGTAATGTAATGCAATACAATACAATTAAGCAGGAAAGTTAACGTAAGTAGAGTAGCGTGACGTTTCGACGACTTCACGTCATCATTGTCGAATGAATAAATTAAAAATAACGGCAACGAATGTTTTACAATACAAATTTTATTAGCACTCCCCATGGGGGTTTTTCAGTACTAATACTACGAAATAAGTTACATTAAAATTAAAATGAAATAAGTCAAGGAATTATAAAAATGATATGAAATAAGGTGGAATTATGTGACAATATTGTATTATGAAAATAAAATTCACGTAACGCTTGCTAATTTTATAATTTTTTTAAATTTTTTAATTTTTTATGCTAAGTACTATAATGTCTGTCACATTAGAGAAACACCCCCCAAAACTAGAAGTAGGTTTATGCGTAGCATTTGATTTACCACGATTTACCACGATTTACCCGAATTCTCCACCAATGTAACGCAAAGTTTCCCGTGCGGAACTGCACGGTTAGGGACGGATATGGGCTATCAGCTTGGATGCTGTTGAGTACACGGACAACGGGCGGACGGACTTGACTTGAGGAAAGCTCGGAAGAGCACAGGCTCGCTGCGCGGCACTCGTTACTCAATGCCAAAGGTACCGGGTCGTTGTCATTCATCAACCGGACACTAAATCAACAAGGACTCTCACAGATCTTGACCTCTCTTGTCTTCTTTATTGTAGATTAAACCTCGTAGTACATAGGTCAAAGGTAACTCAGGGTAAATCACTGATTTACCCTGAGTTACCTTGATCACCTAGAAGGTGATCAAGGTAAATCGTGGTAAAATCGTGGTAAATCAAATGTTGTACAGTACGTGCTTATATATGCTCATGGTGCGATAATAATGGCAGGTACGTAACCTTTAAGGTTTACAGCAAAATAAATAGCTAAGTCAAGTCTTAACAATACCAACATCCGTAAAGGAAATTGTTAAACGTTTAGATCTTCCATTCAAGATACGTTCGAGGAAATTGCTCAAAATATAAGTAAATAATGGTGTTAATTGAAAATATGCTATTTTATATCTGACAACACGTAATATGAATGAATTACCGATATTAGACGAAATGCTCGACTATAAGTAATCGTAAGATTTAGAGAAGTTCCTTTCTATGTCAACATTTATGAATTTGTAATTATTCTGCATTTAAGATTCGTACATTGTTATCTTATACACCCCTCTGTAACAGACCTGGTGAAACCCGACCTGGTGGGTTATTTTGCCCTCCCTGGTGGAATTTTGACCTCCCTAGTTGGCACCTGGTGGTTTTTTAAAAACTCCCTGGTAAATTTTCTTGCTCCCTGGTGTAGAATTTTAGTTTCTCTGGTGAGGCGTGCTCTCCTGCAAGAAAAATTCACGAGTTTGGAATTCCGTTCTTGTTTCTGTTATATCAAAACTTTTTAAAGGATCGGGTATTACTTGTGGTATGTTGTTGTACAAAAGGATTGCGGGCTTGGGAAGCGCTCTTAAGGGCCCATTAACCGATTCATGCGCGCGCTCGCGCGTGTTGCTAAGGAGGTGAAGTTTCACTTCCACTAACTAACGTTAGCCTGAGCGTGGAATAACTTGCAAATTCGCTTACATTTTAGATGTCTTTCTTTGTGTTTCACAAAATACAAAGTAAAAAAAGTACAAGCAAAGACAAAATAA